GTTTGATAATTCATTGTATACAGCTATTTTTCTAGTTCTGTATTCCAACATGGTTTTTATTCACAAGAGTGTTACTTTTGTTTTCTGCTACACTTTGTTTTGTCACTATTTCTGGCTCCGTCTAATGTTACATCCTTTTAATATCCAGTTTAGCATATCTTCATAAAAGTTATTTCACTACATGTACCTCTGTAATAAAGTGATGAATAAATGAGTACTCAATGTATGTATATTTAGAATATATTAAATCCTAAAAAATAAACAAAGAGACAAAAAATGCATTGTTTCTGGTGTCCTGGTACATTACAATAGTTAGAAAAAATACTCTTTTTTGATATTTGCCCTAGCCTATACAATCCAAGGCAAAAGGCATATTGCATGCTTTACTATAATGGCTAGACTTAACCTCGCCTAAGCTAGGTTAAGCAGGAAAATTGAGTGAAGAAATGGATACAGGAAACTTTGTCAAAAAACGTTCTAAGTAAATAAATAAAACGAGTTGAAAAAAAAACACAAAGTCAAATCTAAATACACTAGCATTAACGGTAGTATTAAACATTTTATGCATATATATCTGTGAAATTCGAATCCGATGTAGCATAAATGATGGCTATTATGTTAACTTACTTTCTTAAACTTATTCATTCTGGGCTATCAAATGGTAGAATGCATTTTTCCCATCTCCATTCCCATGCATTTTATAGCCAGGATGTTGTCAATAATTTCTATTATTCCTAGCTCTGTATTATTCCTTTTGCCCTCTGAATTATTTTGTCTTCTGTAGTACTCAAATATCTAACCTATAAATTTATATTTAAATGTAAAATTGTATATTAAAAAGAAAAGGTACTTCAAGTAATTCAGACAATAATCTTTATAGTCTTTTTCTTTTATAAATATCCTTATGTGTGGTATAGTCTTTTTTTACATCCCCCCTATTTATTTTTTTTTATATTTCAAGCGTCAGCTTTTTGTGACTGATATTTACTCCTACAAACTATTCAAATATCCGTTTTCTTTTGAAAAAGTTTTGCCGAGGACAAAAAACTAAATTCAGTCGAGTCCGTATAATTATATATAAATTACAACATTCTTGCAATGAATTTGATACATAAATACTCTATTTGATATCTAAAACACTGTTACACATGCAAGTGTGTATATGATCAGGTTTCACAAATATATCGTATATGTTTGCATGCGATTTAGAAATAATAAAACTAACAAATTCATTTATATTTCTATGAAGTAGAAATCATTATACCACATTTCTGAAACATTACGGAACAAGGTACATCTTAAGACAGATTTTTTCCATTAACTTCAGTAATAGTGATAAATGCAATCGTTATAGATTTCACAAATAAAACATTAAAATATTAGCAATATACAATTTGTTTGATGATACTAATGTTCAGTGGCAAGTATGTCATGATTATTTAGGATTAAAATGGTTTAAACAAAATCTAGAAAATATTTCGCCAGAAACGTATAAACTTCAAGATCAACATTATAAAATGATAGAAATTATATGTTTTAATTTTGAACAACATCCCTCAGATTAAAAAAAATCATATATGTTTGTCATTCACAATCGTATATATAACAGAATTTTTAAAGTTATTACTTACATGTCACTTTCTTTTTCTTTGAACCTCAGATAATATGATTTTCTCTTTTTGTTTTCTTCGTTTCACTGCTTTCTTACAAATACACAACAGGAAATAACCACAAAAGTGACCATCCCATTACATTCAGATTGCCTATAAACTTAATTACCATAGCAACTATCTTTGAAATTTGTCTAACATATGGTCAACCTTATCAGAATGTGCTTGATTAACAGACTGGCTGTATCAAATATCACTCTGTATATAATTGCTAAATCATTATGATTCACAACGTTTAATGAATAAAGTTATAATAAATAATGATTGCAATAAATTTAAACTTTTAACCAGGCAATCTATGTTAACGATATATTTTTTTTTATTACAGTAATGATATTCCAGTATAAATTTTACCTGACTTATATATTGAGTATAATATAGGATCAACGTTGGCCCAGCATTGGCCCAACATAGAGTTGTAAATGTAATTTCAGTTGTTGAACCCTTTCGGTATAACATTAACTTTTCATAAAGCATGCAGCAATCGAAATCATCCGTCTTCCCAAGAGAAATAAAGCGTAAAATATTTCATAATCAATTTTTATTAACAAAATTTCATATCGGCCCTATTTTGCTACTAACGTAATGCCAACGTTGGCCCGATTATTTATAACCAACATGAGATAATAATATGGATTTACAACAGCAGGTCAACGTTGGACCAATGTTGTGCAGGCAACACCAACGTGCGACTAACGGACCGACAATTTGCCAACGTTGGGCCAATGTTGTGCAGCCAACAACTAATGGTCGACCAACGGACCGACAATTTGCCAACGTTGGGCCAATGTTGTGCAGCCAACACCAACGGTCGACCAACGGACCGACAATTTGCCAACGTTGGCCAACTGTTACTCTGTTGACTGGGTATCATCTGACATAAGTCAATAATCAAGTTCTTATTAATTAGTCACACTTATCAAAAAATTGGTTGAAATGATAATCAACTTGCGACTAAAGTCGCTCGTTGATTATCGTTTACGAATCCACTACTTCTTATCAATTCTCTACTACAGAATGAACACCAATTTAGATAAAAAATAGTTATTATTTTCTTTAATTTTTGTTGTTGAGAAATTGGATTTCCAAGGCCACTTTCTGGAAAATTATTAAGCCAGTTATTATTAATGGCATATAAAAAATATATTACTTGTTTGACGATTTCCCTTTCCATTTTTGCTTATACCATTCAATTGCAAATATTTATAAAAAAAATCTGACAGAGTCTAAGATTATAATATCAATATTTGCATCAGTATTGCGAAATTTTATAGTAAGATTGGAAATGAAAAGAGAAAAAAATATTGAAAAAAGTATGGTCAGAAAGAATATCAGACTAGCTATGAATATGGCTGGATCACAACATCGACGATGATTTGATTTTTTGTGTTACTGCCTGCCGTAAGTATAATTTATATCGTATCGTCTGCAATAATCTTACAAATTATGGCCGAAAGATCTCCATCAGGAAGATTCAAAAAAGCAAAAACGTACTCTAGGGCAAATAATTTTATTAACACTGACGACAAAGACTCACTTTCAGACCCCTCTACTTCTTATCATAATGAAGACACAGCTTCTGAGATGCCTTCTGTACATGTAGAGGTTCTTGTCAATCTTGACCACACATATGCCTTACCGCTGGTACCGCTGGTTTTCATACCACAAAGGGATGGTTAGGATTGGCTTTAGGGGTTATTTCTCAAACAGTTTAGGAATTAGGGACACAAATTGGGAAAAAACAAGGGTTTCCTGGTTAATGGACAATTTAAAAGCAGTGTAAGGTAGGTAATACAAAAAAAAATTGTACACTGTTGTACAATGTTGGATTACCTCCCTTACACTGCTTTCAAATTATCTATTTAAGACTTTTATGATGTATTGAAATTGGTAATTATGGATGCAAACTCCATTGGAAATTTGAATTGAGATTATGACCATATCTTGATGGAAGGAATTTTTTTTTGAAAAGGGGGAGGGGGTTAAAAAAGAAATTGTGAGGGCAATTTTTTTTTTTTCATTTCAGATTTCAGAAATTAAAAAGAAAACTTCTTCAAATATTTATTTTTTTAGGGTCAATTTGCAACAGCATAGTGTATTGCACAAAAGCAAAAAATTGAATATAAATTCAAGTCATATAACCAATTCTAAGTTTATGTGTCATATATTTAATTACAATCCAAATTCAGACCTGTATCAAGTGCGAATATTGTGTCCTTTTTCGCCCCAACTGTTCAGGGTTGGACCTCTGCGGTCGTATCCAGCTGCGCTCAGCGAAGCATTTTATCTACTATACATGCTATATATATGTTCAGACAGAAAGTTTGGGATACACTGGTATCATTTGTAACAACAAACATGCTAGGAACTATTTTTTCTGTATAGCACCGAAACCAACAACAAAAATGTATGAAACAAATTCCTATAATATATTGACCTATATGTTGTATACCCATTTTGCACTAGTGCAATATACCTTAAAAATTAATTGCGTCTATTATAAACAACAAAACAAAAATAAATTTTATTTTTTAAGCTTGCTTTGAAAATTTTAATGCAAAATGAGATTCTTTTTTGGACAATATTCCGCCTTAATCCTTCAAAAGCTCTATAATACATGTACCATTGATCTCTTTTTCGAAAATTTCATAATTTAGTCCTTGTTTATTTTCAAGTTATGTAAGTGGTTATAATTAACCACATTAAAATTTATAAGGAAATTCTGTTCACTCAAAAAGTACCATGTTAAGTTAAAAGGGACATAATCGGGTATATGTTCAAATGAACAGATTGCACAAAAGAACGCAGTTTTAATAATACATCAAAGATTTAGTTTGAGATCAGTATACCTACCGTCATTACAAATTTGTGAAAAATTACCAGTAATACATATTTTCAGCATATTGATACAAATGTACAGGATAATTTTCAAATAGAGTTAATAGTCAAATTACAGATGCAATCTTTACTGTCATGGTAACAATTTGAATATATATATATATATATATATATATATATATATATATATATATAAACATGATAGATGAAAGCTTTATTTTTATACAATAGAAAATGAAGAAAAAAAGGAATCACAGTATCTGCAGACACTTGCTGTCAAAAAAAAAGGTTCTGGAAGGGCATATAACAGTTTGTCAGGCATGATATTAATTGAGCTTAAACAACATGAACAAACAATCAGATAATTTATTTTATTATAAAAACTATTTTTCTGTTAAGCTAGATATATTAGGTCATTTGGTCCTTATTTATTTTTTTAATTTCACATTAATACATCCTTAACATTACCATTCTTAACTGTCATACAAAAGTCTCTTGTAGATCTCATAATTTCTCTGCAAATATTTTAGTTAAACTGAATTTTCATGAAACCTTTATATGAAAGATGAGTTTGAAGATGAATTTTGGTTTTCAAATCCTTCTAATTTATAATAATGACAGTTTATTTCCGTGAAAGGCATATTATGTAGATATACACGAAGGAAAACATTTTTTGTCAGAATATTACAAGGGAAGATAATGTTGTGAAATTTTTGAAAGGGGAGACAATTCAACTTGAAGGTTTTAACTGATTTTAACGAGAAATATAAAGCTTGGACAATAAATGGCAGAATAGACAAGGAGGAGGGTGTTTTCTTCTGTGAGCTTGATCAAAATAATTATAGTTTGGGCTAATGCAGATATTGCTTATTTCTTACAATATTACAATATGGGGCATTTATGTCCTTTAAACTCAAAATTTTATTTAAGCTAGTTTAAATTGAAATAAATAATTTCAGGGGTATCAACATTGATCGCTAAAAATACAGGAGGAGTTGTCCATCATGCAATAAGATGTCAGCAATGCAGAATCTGTGACAGTGCAACAAAAAGGGGGATTCAGCATAAAGAGCACAATTGTAAGAAAAATTGGACAGGCTCAGCGAAGGCTATGGTGCCTGATATGCTAGTTCAGATGGTAATGGATGTGAAGAACAAAGGGATCAACATAGATGAAATTGCAGGTGATGATGATACGACTGGATTCGACAGGCTGAAAAAGACATATCTCCAATCAAACATGATTAAAACCAGTGACAGAAATCATGTCAAAACGAATGTCATTATAAAGTTATATGCAATTAAAACATATTAAGCAGCTCTCTTAAATGGTTATGAATTCTTTACTAAAGATTTTTTCATTCATGATAGATCAAAACAAAGGTGATGTTGAAGGAATGGAAAATGGCCTAAAAACTATAGTAGAGCACATGTATGTGGACCACACTAATTGTAATAGATCATGGTGTGGATTTCTTAAAGACGAAGAACAATATAAGCACAGTAATTTACCTCATGGAAAAGACCTGACGTCTGATTCATTACGGACAGACATGGAGAAGATATTTTTTGGGAATGAGTCAGTCAATCCAAGGAAGCTTGCATCACTGTCAAGCTCACAAGCAAATGAAAACTTTAACAACATGATTGCTGCAAAAGCTCCAAAAGCGAAGCACTACTCCTCATAAGCAAGCTTGGGCTACAGGGTAGATTCTTCTATCTTGCAAAAGAATGAAGGATATGCCTATGTTAGTGAGGTGTAACTATATGCACCTTTTATTAGCTCTTTGAAAAATTTAAAAGATAGATGATCAATGTATACTACAGTCTAAGAGTTACTACTCTGGAAATATTACTTTTAGCAGTTTTTTAATCCCAAACTACTGTAAATGCAGATATTATTGCATGCATTTATTATTGCGATTTTTGAGAAATAAACGCTAATGCGATATTAATAACTGCGATTTATTGCAGTGGCTCCGGATTTCCAGGTGACCAATTAATTCAAGCTTCTTGAAGCTTGTTGTTATAACTTTCATTCATTGGAAAAAAACTACAAACATTCTCTATGGAGATAATTATTTGAATGGTCTGAGAAAGAACATTTTTTTTTCATATTAGGTGAATAAAAATTTAGGCAGATATATCAACAAAATATATGCAAGATAAATCAACTTGAATGCATGGATATGGAATATTACATCAGTTACGACTTGTCGCTTTATTTACAACTACATCTAAGTTTATATGCTATGTCTCTATTCATATCTTAATCAGTATGAAAAAATATAATTCAAAACTTTGTCTTATTTTCTTTATTTTATATATCTTTGAAGGTTCATGCATCCATGGGACTGTCTCCTGGAAAGGAAAAAAAAAAAAAAAGAAGCTCCAGAATCAACATGAAAAGGAACAAAAAACAACAAAAAAAAAGGCAAAAACCAAAGAAGCCAAGAGCAGACAAGAACATATAAGACTTCTAGTAAAGAAATAAGGGAAGGAAAAACTTACGAAAGTGAAATAGGTATATATTACTACTAAAAAGCCACCATTAATGTTTTCTGAAATATAATATTTAAATAAATCTTACATAATGAACAGAGTTTCTAACATCAAGGGCAGAATAAGGCGGGGGCGTGGTTGGCATGCGCCCCCTATAATTTGTAAAGTATGGGTTGTCCAAAGCTTAATTTCAATAATTTTACCAAAAAAATCTGCGCCCCCCTCTCCTTGTCATTTTTTTTTAGTTTGCATCGCCCCCCCCCCCCCCCCCTTCCCCCCCCCCTTTTTTTGCCCTGTACCTTAAATATTTCATTTAGTAAGATTTATTTATACTGTTATTATGAACTTTAAAATTGTATTTGGATGAATTGGGACTTTGCTTATTTATAGATTTTAATGTTGAAACAACCAATCTTCATATGTATATGCCTAAATACGATGAGATCTTCAGAATCTTAAAAATGACCACAACTATGCCAATTCAATACACATGTTTTATACATTTGTATGTTATCAATAAATATTAAAAGAATGTTGTCTTGTGTAGGGGAAAAATATAGTTATAAGAAGATGGGGTATGAGTGCCAATGAGACAACTCTACATCTAAGTCAAAATTTATAAAAGTAAACCGTTATTGGTCAAAGTACGGTCTTCAATACGGAGCCCTGGCTCACACCAAACAGCAAGCTATAGAGGGCCCCAAAAATTACTAGTGTAAAACCATTCAAACGGGAAAACCAATGGTCTAATCTACTAGTATATAAAATACGAAAAACGAAAACACTTATGAACCACATCAACAAACGACAACTACTGAACATCAGATTCCTGACTTAGAACAGGTTCAAACAATTGCAGCGGGTTTAAATGTTTTAATGGTACCAAACCTTCACCCTTATCTGAAACAACAGTGTAACATCACAACATAGAAAGACACACTATAAGATATCAATTGAAATGGCTTAACTCAATCAAAAGACATATTAACACCAGTGAACATACACTGAACAAAAAAATTTGATCTATGATACAATGTAAATACAAAACAAATAAATTAAGGGAAGAATAATTAAAGTAACATGTTATACCGCTGTGAAATGTTAAACAATTTAAGAAAAACAATATCCTTGAACAAAAATATCAGCCATTTGCAATTACTTTAAACATAGGTAAATGAAAATAATTTTGTTGTTAGGTATAATGTACAGTTCAAATAGAGAACGGAAATATTTTTACAAAATTAATAATTTTGATGTTCATAGTACGAAGAAGTGAAAATTTATAGTAATACCAAACACTTATCAAAGCTGGTATATAGAACAGATATAACCCTGATTAGCATTAAATAACAAAAAAGCATTACAATTAGTATCAACAGGTCAAATAAACAAGAAAGTACGATTTGAGAGTACTCGCAGTTACTGACAGCTAGTTAAAAGTCAAAAACATGCATGTATGTAAATATTTTAGAGACACTCCCACTTCTGGTTCTTCTTTGTGATTACTACAGTCTGTGTGAATTTTTTATTTAAACGTATTGAGTTAATTAAAAATGTTGTTTCAAAATTTAAATAAAAGATATAAGGAGATGGGGTATGGGTGCCGATGAGAAAAGTTAATTTAAGAGGATTACTACAATAGATACTTACTCTATGCAGGGATAAAAATCTGTGGTACATTACATATTATATTATCTGCTATTTGAATTATACAAGGTGCACAATGTACATGTTAATCCTTCAATAATTTATGATCAAATTATAGGATTAAAACCTGAAGTAACAGACAAGGAGTCCCAGGAGATTCCTGAAATACAAGACATCACAAAGATCTCTTTGAATGAACAAAAGGTTATCAAAGCACCAGTAGTAATTTTTGATTTAGAGACAACTGGCCTCAGTAAGTGTAAAATTAACGTCTAATGTTTTAATCTAAGTTTAATTTTGTGATACACGTCACTTTGATGTGAAAAATGCAAATTATACTTGTACATGAATATTGTATGCATGGTAAAAAAAAGTCCATGAGTTTAAAAAATGTTTTGCTTACAGTACATGAACAAAAAATTGTTATCAGCACAAAGCGATTTGTTTATTTTTAATACAACAGGAAAATTTGAATCACAAAGTTGCGTGCACTATTAAATAGAAACTTTTTGAGTTTATTGTTTGATGTCAATTGGTTTGTCCAGAACAGATTTAGTGTCAAACATGCATCATTTTTTTTTTTGGTTAGTTGCTGTCTCTTTCATACATAGCCCATTTTCATTATTTATTATATTTTATATTCACCTTGACATGCATGTGTCAATAATAATTAAATGCAAGATTTTGTGGCTTTATAAGTGTGTAAATGTGTATGTATGAAGCCAGATAAAAGTTGTTTTGATATTTCACTTACTCCTTGTCATCAAAGATTCATTTTATTTATTGTTCTATTGTAGGTAGGAAATCTGACATTACCCAATTAGTAGCCTATTCAGAAACAGTGAACTTTAGCACTTACATTTTTCCGTCCCAGGCAATATCCAAAGAAGCATCAGAGGTCACACAAATTTTTGTGAACGGTAATCAGATGTTTCACAACAGTACTGCAGTCCAATACAAGATGGCCCATGAAGCATTGATGAACTTTATTATATTTTTATCAAGTTTCTAGAAAATGTATTCTTGTAGGTCATAATATCAAACGCTTTGACAGCCATGTGTTATATAACCAATTGTATATTCATAACATGTGGAATGAATTTTGCTTACAGATTTGTGCTTTCTGTGACACCTTAGATTTATTCAAAAGTGTTGTTCCTAGTATGTCTTCATACAGCCAAACATCTCTTGTAAGAGAGCTCTTAGGTGAAACTTAAGGTGCTCATAATGCTATACATGACACCAAAGTATTGTACAAACTTGTAATTGAAAGAGGGAATTTTCAAGATAATGTGGTAGAATTTTCATTACCTGTTAGTTATCCTTATGATTCACATGTTATCCAAGAAAACTTGAACACTTTTTCTCATGCTATAAATTGTAAAGCTATTTCAAAATCTTGTGCGCTGAAGGCATCAAAATCTAACCTTAAATTGTCTCACTTAAAGTTAGCAGTACATCGAGATGGTATAGATGGACTTAAAGCCTTACTTGCTGATTGGTCTAACAAGGGAAGTGTGATAGTAACTAAATGTACAAGAGTTATTCAAAAACTGTTTGATTTTCTGCATGAAGATTGAAATAACATGTAACAATAAGGTCATGAAAAATTACCTGGTTCTGAGGTTTACTAAATGATACAGGAGGAAGGAAAAAAAAGGGAAAGGACCGTTTAGATTTACCCTTGTCCTTCCATATGTCCTGATCTTGGTTAATTTTTTACCTGCGTTGCAAAAAGCATCATTTATGTTTATCCTTATACATTTGTATGTAATGATATTGGTTCAGTTTATACTACTGGAGTTCAACGGATAGAAAACTTTCGTCAATGTTTTCTTGGCTTTTATGACAGAGAATGCAAATGATTTAATATTTGTTCTGGGATTGATTATTTATGCTATGGAATACATATTACCTCAATCAATTGAATGCAGACGCAGGTCCTGACCCAGTATTTGTCTTGTTGTGTATATATGTCTGTTTCCTAGACATATACATGGTATAGCAATGAATCTAGGGTATTTGAGGGTCCATTTTACACCAAATTAATTTTAAAAAAGCAAACTTTTCTTTCAATATTAAAAGTTTTTGCCAAATTAAAAAGAAATGTTTTGAACCATAAACATGATAAAGTTTACATGAGGTAGAGTCTGAGAATCAAGAAATAAATTCTATTTGGTTTAAATAAGAAGATTTATGATGATGTAATTTCTAATGACTGTTTTATAGTATAAAAAAATATGCTTTGTATTTGTTGGAAAATGTCAAATATATCCTCATTTCCTGATGAGAAAATAAATAATCGTACATGGTTCAAATCTGTTGCCATTTATTTCATTTCAGAAACACACAAAATGAGTGTGACATGTGTGATCTGATCAACAATACTAAATTCCTTCCACACCGACTGAAGGATACATATCCAAACTTATCCAGTGTACTATAGTCTGTAGCTGTTACTCAAAACATTAATTGATCACAGAAAATTATCATTTTTTTCCCATTTCAAAACTATCTATTCAATTATATTCAAGACGGATCTTAAGTCCCCCTTTTTGATGTTGTTGAAGGAGTGATAAAGATTGTTATGAATTCGTCCAGTAATTATATAAGAAACTGGATAAGTGCACTGTAAACCTGGTTTTACCCACAAATTGCACATGCAAATGTCATTACACAGTCAGAAGTAAGATGGTTGTCTACGGTTTTGACAATGCGTCCACTTATTTCCCGTAAAAGGATATACCAAAAATTGTTTTTATGAAAATGCAATACTCTAGCTTCACATGTCAATACTAAAAATATCAATTATTGACCTTGGGTTCAAAGGTCAAGGACACATGCAGTCCTTAGCACATGACCTACCCTCATTTGATTATACACATACATAACAAACTTCATATTAATTTATATAACAATGCAAACAAAATTGTTGACATCCAATCAATCATGCATACTTGAAATATCAATTATTTAACCTTGAAGCCAAATGTCAAGGCTTAATTGCTAGCTGTCATGATGGTATATAACAAGCTGTCCCATGGTTTTACAAAAACATACAATACATCATTGATTTATCTCAAAAGACTAAAATGTTAAGGCTCGCACAATTAACTACAGGTTTATAATATAACACTTCGTAAGTTTCAATTATTTGACCTTGAAATCAAAGGTCAAGTTAAAAATGTGGTCTTTTTGGTACACAACTCACCCTCTCAATATTAGACACTAACATACCAAATTCCATTGATATATCTAAAGAAACAAATAAAAATTTGAACAAGAAAAATAGTTAATTTTCAAATTTATTCAATTTATGAATTAAAAATTAACTCCCTTTTTTGTCTATTTTCTTGTCTCAATTAACTCGTATCTTTCTTATATGGACGGTGACCTACCATTTTTTTTTAATTTCAACTTTTAAATTAACATTTGGAGAATTCAATTACAAAAAATAAGAAAATTCTATGGATTAGAAATGACACTTTTTATTCAATAAATGTATCAATCAACGTTTTTTCCTTCATTGTCTATATGAAATTTGCGTCAAAATGTTCATTTTACCTTAAATTTTCAAATCAAAATTTTGAGCTTGGAACACTGGTGACACCATGTTTTTATTTGATAATTTCGAAGTACATATCACTAAGAAGTTTCCTAAGAAAATAAAAAAATCTATGAATAAAAATTTAGACCTTCCATCTACCTTAACGGACTGAACTTCTGATTGACTCTGGCAACAGTTACAATACACTGGACTTTAAGCAACCAGCAATCAATCAATCAGTTACAATACATTGAGACTATCATTTATTTTCTTATGATCAAAGGTATTGGTGAAATGTAAACACTTCTAAAGCATGGAAGACCTGAAACTTGTATGTTTTCAAGTTTGCTTCTCCCTCAACATTTTGGAAACCTTTATCATGGCAAATGAAAATGTATGATACACAATTCTTCTCCAAATGATGCTGATGTTTCGTTGACTTCTTCTAAAAACGTCTATTGCTTGTTTTGTTTTCACGAATTTGCAGTAATTTCCCATATTGCAATGAACATGACATGAAAATTAATTAATCAACTTTCGAAACAGAGATGAAGCAATTATATACTTGTCAAAACATTTGCTTAAAAATTTATTCTGTTTGCACGGCGTGAATATTTTCACCAAATGAAAATATCACTTTATAACTTTATGTTTTATACATATTTCTGTGATTTATATTGATTCGCAGGTTGTCTATCAATTTATGAAAGTGTGTCATTCTCTAATTAGAGCATCCTGGTGTTCTTATTCTGTGATCAATGCTTTTCAACGTTTCAAATCTTTTCGTATTTCCTTATTTTGTTTCTAGCTCCATCAGTGAAAACATATTTTAAAATTCACATTTTATGCACCTAATTAATTGTGTACTTGGAGTTTGTATCTTAATTTTTGTTGTTTGTATCTTACTAGAAATAGATTTTTGATTATTTTGGTGTTCACGACTTTTTTCTTATAAATTGCACTTTTTAAGAAGATTTAATATTTTTTTCTTGAAACAGATATAAACTTCAAACAATTTTTACAATTATGGTTTGACAAGGAAAATATGATATTGGTTTTTTATTATTTTTGTTGATCAGATCAAAACAACGGATCTTCTTTTGGTTGAAACGACCTTTGCGCACAAGAGCATTTCATTCAACGAGAAAACCCAATACCGTATAGTCAGCTATAAAAGACCCCACCAGCAGAAATTCTGATTGAAGAATAGCCCATTTTTCCGTTACCGAAATTGAGTCTTTCATTAAAATACTGTGGTCAAAAGGAAAACAACTACTACAACTACTACTACATGAGACAAACTGGCTTGTTGCGTTAAGCCACAGGAGCGTGTCTCTTATTATATCTAACCCCTACATCTTTATAAAAAGTCTAGGTTAAAAAATCTGAGACAAGTGCGTATGCATTAAACCTATACGCAGGACGAATTAGTTTTGTTTTGTTTTTTTTATTCTAACGTACAAGTATTTTAAGCCTTTCGAATGAAATCAAAACTAGGTAGATGCCAAATTTCCAACACCGACAGTTTCTGTAGCAGCAAGAAACTTTATTTTCCTGTAAGCTATAAAGCAAAACGAACCAGTGGGGAAATAAAAGCATCATAAGTAGGGACCAACGGCACAACATCATTTTCAAATTGAAAATAAACAATAGGGAAGGAAAAATCGTCTCTTTTTAGTAAACATTGCATGCAGTTTTATGTGTGAAACTGAAATATTGAAACCAAGAAAAGGACAAATATTGTTCTTCTTTTATATCTTTTGTTTTTAAAGTGTGTTTCCTGGAGGCAAATGTCAGCTGTAAAATTAAAGCATTTTTGGTTACTTAAACCAATGGCATACATACCATTAAGCGACCGTGATATATATTGTTACCTTTCAAATAAATTAAGACGGATCTTTAAAGGGCTTGGCAAAAAAAGGTAATTTTATAACAATACCGTAACAAAAATGTTATCAAAGTGACGCAATCCGTACCCATTGGAATATCACTTAAAATGTTTAATTTGATTACCGAAACGTACGTACACAATACAGTTGTTGCTAAGGACAGAAATGAATCATCTCATCACTCACAGTGGTCTCTAGCTTATTAATTCTTATTTTCCTCGACAAAATTTCAGGAAAATACAATAATCGCATTGTCAGTCCGTCATTCCATCCGTCTGTCCGTCTGTCCGTCATGTGACCGAAACAAATGGTTTTCGGAAGACAACCTGAATATCCATTGCTAACTTTGAATGAAACTTACAGGGATCAAAAATACATGGAATGGAAAGAAGCCTATTAATATTTGGGCAATATGTCAAAGATCTAGGTCACTGTTACTAAAACACGGATGTTTTGGTGGAAAAAGGGTATCCAGATGAAAACTCGGAGGTCAATATGTCAATGGTTAAGGTAACTGTTGCTCTCAACCGACCCTCCTTGATTTTTAAATAAGACGGACTAACCTAAAATTAGATGTTTCGCAGTTCTAGTGTCAAATGCTGACATATATTTAACCACGGAAGACATTTTTCCAGCGTA